CATGGGAGATGGAAGGGCACTGAGATCCTAACCCTAGCTGAGGAGCTATGGGCACTTAATGGCTGCTGTGAGCGGGAGAGTTATGTTTCTTTGGGAGGGGGCACCTCACTTTCACAGCCAGTTACAGAGAAACTTATTTTTGTTCAAATGGTGATGGTCTTAATGGAAAGAAGTCAGTATTTTATATTTTATAAAGCTTGCCTAATGCAACCAAGCCCCCTAACTGAACTGAGACTTTAATATCATTTGCTCAGTTCTTTCACAACAGCAACTACAGTACTACTTGACTGCATAATGGAACAAAGATGCAAATATTTGTGGAACTAAAAATCTTGGAGGCCATGCTAGAAATTAGTCTCTCAGAGAAGATAATTCTTCAATATTCCAAATTCCATGATTAAGTATAGGGAAGAGAGGCATCCTTAACCTTGGGCACAGTAATTCAAAGTTTCAAAGACTTTACAAACATCACCCAAAAGGTTGCTGAGGCTAGAAAAGTTACAGATTAGCTCATGTAGGTCTCCTTAGGAGCACACCATGAAACTTGTTTTGAAAATGCTTTCTTTGGTGCTTTGGAGGTAGTTTCCACAAAAATCTACTGTCCCAGGGCTGATATACCAGGATCCAGGCTTGCCAGGCTTCTGGACAGTAGATGGGAGGAGCAAGGCCAGACCTTGCGAGGATCCTTTATGCTACTACTCTAACCTAAGTCTAAAAACAGTGATGAGACATAAAGCAGTTCATGTATTATTAGAACTATCCACTTTTGCTGCTCCCTTTCTCTGTTTTCCCCTCAGTTTAAGTAGACCTCTGCTTTGACATAATGGGTAGTTTGCGTGTATCTTATAGAAACAGTTATCTTTGACTCTGGGGCTCAGGTGCGGGGGGATAGGAGGAGCATGGGGGCGGCCTTCATGGAAGAAAACAAGGCCTTGGGCATTGTGTAACAGCTGAGACTAGCAAGCTTTGTTGTCTAGGATTCGAAGTCGTCTAGCAACATGCTGGCCTCTGCTGCAGAGGGAGAGCAGAGGACCCCCCCACACAGAATGAATGGCATCCTATTTCAATTATGCTTAATGCAGCAACCCTCTTCATGCAGCTAGCTCAGAGCACCTGATGCAGCTTAAGCCACTATGGTCACACGGACAGTACATTACCAGGGTCCTGGAGGCAAATGGGGATGCGGACTCTCTTCTTCAAGCAGATGCTGTATAGGTCTGGATGGCAATATGAAAGTGCCAGCCAAGTTCTGATTGGCACAATTCAAACAAACGGGAATAATTTCATTTGATGGATCTTCCCCACAGTCTCTATGCATATTGATTTTGCTTAAATTAATCTGTTTAAGTCCACAAGCCATCACCTCAGTGATTTGAGTCACTGTACAGAATAGTGGTGACAGACTAAATCTTACTGATAGTAACAGCACCAATTACTCTCTTTGTCCCTGTACCTTCTGAATAAAATCCAGTGGATTCTTCTATGTGTCATTCATTTTTGGATTCTTTCCTTCTTTATCAATACCTTTAGTATAATATGGCAAATAGTATAGTATGGCTGCCCCCAGAGAGCGGGCCATATTCATAGCACTAGTCAACAGGACTCTCTGAGACAATGGAAATGCTCTGTATCTGTGCCTTTCTGTTTAGCAGTAACTGGCTACATGTGGTTTTTAAACACTGGCAATATGTCCAGTGAAAATAAAGCATTAAATTTTTTTTATTTATCTTCATTATTTTAAATAGTCACACAGAACTAGTGGCTACTATATAAAATAGTGTAAGCCTAGATCTCAGAGAGGTGCATACTAAAATAGAGCAGGAATAATCTAATGAAAGAGAAGCAATGAGCCATAAGGGATTTGAAATTAAGAATAAGATGCCTGGTTCCAATCCTACCTCTGCCACTAGACTGCTTCACCCTCATTAGATTCAACATCCCCGTCTTTGACTTGAAACTTTGGACTGATACAAGAATTCTCAAAGTGATAGCTAAGGGTTGAATTCAGCTTAGAATACATGTATATCATGAGAGATTTTAACATGATACATGAATGTGTTTCAGGGATAGGAAGTTAGACATTTTATCCCAGTTTTCCAGGCAGAATGCAACCATTCTTGTACATATATGCCTATACACTGTATTATTTCCTGGATACATTCTGAATATATTCAATCCATTCTGAATATAACTGAATCTGTGAACACTGGAAAGATGATTTCTAAGGACTCTTCCTTAAGGCAAGCCATGAATTTTTTTAATCACTACAGTACCTCAGATATGTTTCCATTTAGGAAGGTAACTGAGTATTTTCAGAACTTCCTGTTTCTCCATTTCTAGATGTAGTACTAGCTACTAAAGTCCATTGTCAGGAGTAAAAATTATAGTCAAGGAAGATAAAATTTTAGGGATCCAGACTCTTTGGAGAAGCCACATGATAAAGTATAGAGAATGTGAGTTTTCTAGATAAAGCGGGTTCAGATCATTTAAGTTATCTTTCTCTAAGTCCATGACTAGAAAATACCAGCTAGAAGGGTGGGGTCTATCTGGGAACTGTACCGGGGCACTCTGGAGGCATCATCAGTTTGTAGTGCCATGTACAAGAAGAAGACTCAGTGTAAGAAATGGATTCATCAAATGACAAAACATTGTGAAGGTTAGGACTCTTGCTCTGGGAATAGATTTAGCTAGGTTCATGCCAAACTCCCAACCTTATACCTTTATGTGGGAGGTAGAAATTGTTAAGGAAGTATGTATCTCCTTATTACTGGCTGTGCCCAAATCCTATAGAAACAATTCTTGGAAAGGTTATCTTGCATTCAAAGTTGAGATTCCAGGCGTCCTTATTTGTCCCTCTTTTCTTCTCAATGCTTCTCTTATGAACACCATTTTCTCCTCTCTGGCCTAAGTGTTGATAAAAATATGCAAGCTATTATTACTTCGTCTCTTTTTTTCTCTCCTTCTTTCTTTCTCTCTCTCTTTCTTTCTTTCTTTGTTATTGTTAAAGGATTAGATAAAAATACACTTTATGGTCTACTCCCAGTGCATCTGCTTGTGATGGACCTCAGAGTTATGACCTTTTTAATTATTTATACTTATCAATATAAGTACTAGGGAAAATAGAACAAAATAATCATTGGATTGCTAGAGGACCTTTAAAGTGAGTGTGTATGTGTCTGTGTGTTTTTGTGTGTGTGTGTGTGCACGCACATGTGCGTGCAGGCATGTGCATGTATAAATGTTCACGTGTATGTGCATATGTGTATGGATATGTCGGGAAAATTGTTCTTAAACTGCATTTGGAATTACTGTGATTGTTTTAAAGAATGTTATATCTTGCATCCTAATAGCTGCCTGCTAGTATGATTTCCATTTTTTAATAGATGGGTAATACAGTCATAATAATAATGTCATGGACATTACATTATTTATTTAATACTATCACAGGCTCTAACCTTTCACCCTCTATTTCTTGCCCCTGCTAAAGAAGAAAATCTGTATGTGTTATGGTATATGATCAACTATGAATATCATTTAGAAAGCATCTGAGCCACTTTATAATGTGTGGTAGGAAGCAGCACACCAGAAAAATCCTGCTCATTGTTTTCAAGATGGGATGATTTGGTAGTCTGAAGATACAAAGGATTTTCAAATTGTTCCTAAATTTCATTCTCACCTGATATGTGAATTCTCAACTGCTGAAAATCTAGTCTCTGAATTTCTACAATGCCATGAATGTGTGTTCCTCAGAGAACCCTAAGTACCAATATATGTTTGTGAACTAAATCCGGTAGCAATGCCCTGCACTTCTAGCTCCTGGGAAGCTGAGAGAGAAGAATCACAAATCCAAGGCCTGCCCAGCTTGCAGAGTAAATTCAAAGCAATCCTGATTAGCTTTGTTAAATGCTATTCTCAAAGTAAAAAAGATGACTTAGGATATTGGGTAATTGATGAGTATACATTAAGCATGGACTATGTTCAATTCTCAGTGATGAAAAGAATGAACAGAGGAAAAGGACCTGGTTTCCAAACTGGTATATTTTTGTTACCCATTTAGAACCCACAGTTAAGTTCAGATCTTCATTTAACAGGTGTTTTGGTCACTTTTTCTAACATAGATACATTTGTATAACTCTTGTTTACAATGTTCAGAATTGACCTATAATCTATAAGCCAGAACTTCTTAATATCAAATATAGACACATTTATATTGTTGTTTTGAATACAGCATTCATTATTTGCTTATTACCTGTAGGACAAACCCTGTACTTCTTTAATATAATACAATACACATCATCCACTAAAAACAGGCCACAGTTTGTTTATAACACTGTAGATAGCCTGTCTTTTTATATATGCAATATAAACTATAGGCACACTGATTTTTAGTTTCTCTCATTTCTTTATGCCCTTTCTACCCATTTCTGCCTGGTAAAATTCTTATCAGTATTTAAGCTCCAGGTACCTTTGAGGTAAAGTATTTCCTAACCTCACCATGCAAAAAAGATTTTTTTCCCTCTTTATGATGCCTCTGTTAGAGTTTTTACTATCTTGGTGCTTTCTAGACTTCTTTGTGGGTGTTTATTTCTTTTCTACAAGACTGGAGCAGGGCCGATGCTCTTTATGTTACCTAAAAACCATTATTTGTCAATGAAGTGTGGAGAATAGATAAATAAAGAAATCAACCAGAAATGTTTTTTTAATAAATGAATCAACTGAATGTCTCAGGTATAAATACTGACGTCTGCTGCACTCTGGCAGAGCTGATTTAAGGATATTTTTAGGAGAAAACAATGTATGATACTTTGGGGCTTAGCAGGGATGTAAGATAACACATTCATTCAACTGTTCTTGAGTAATCACTTGTCTGTAAGAAACTTAGACTCTACGACCAGAGAGAAAGATTTTGTTTTTGCTCAATCACTTTCCCTAACAAGGTAACTATAGTGTGTATTTTTGGTCACTGATAATGAATTCAAATTTCTTTTACTCCTCAATAGCTCGTAAGCTGAAAAAACTTGGAAATCTAAAACTACAGGAGGAAGGAGAAAACTCCAATGCTGGTAGCCCCACTGAGGACCCATCCCAGAAGATGACAGTATCACACATTGAAGGCTATGAATGTCAACCTATCTTTCTTAATGTCCTGGAAGCTATTGAACCAGGAGTGGTATGTGCTGGACATGACAACAACCAACCTGATTCCTTTGCTGCCTTGTTATCTAGCCTCAACGAGCTGGGTGAGAGACAGCTTGTGCATGTGGTCAAGTGGGCCAAGGCCTTGCCTGGTAAGGAAAAGGAAAATGAGGATGTGGGATAAGGGTTATCATATTTATAGAATGGTTCTTTGGGCAAGATACTCGTTAACTCAGACAGGACTCAACGCCACACTGTAGATAAATGGTTGTCATAGAAAAGGTCTCACCATAACATTGAAGAAGTTGAGACTGAGAAAGCAAGAGAAAAGATACTATACCCATGTCCTATATGACTTCACTGATACACAATAATCATACTTTGTCATTTAACCCCAAATCAAATATTTTATAGCTATAGCTACATAAACCTTAAGATATTCTTCTATGCATAAACATGTAAGTTCATTCCAGAGGTAGTTTTAAGTCTCAGTTATCCCACAGGAATTTTTATATGGTATGGTAGAAAGAAATTTGAACATCAGAAATCTTGGGTTCTTTTCTTATCTCTGCTCAAAACTCATTTGTGATCCTTTACCCTTCTGGCTCTGTTTTTTTATTTGTACATATCAAGAGCATTCCGGACTAACCTGATTGTAAAATTCAGTGGGAGAGGAACTTTGGTGGGTCCCCTGGTGCGTGAGGAATGTGGGCAAGAAACAGAATATGCCATGCAAAGAGAGCTGGGGAGTATGGAGTTTTCTTTAGGAAGAGGGTATGGGGGAGGAAAGGAGAAATACAGAGACAGAGAGAGGGAAGGGAGAGGAGAGGAGAGAGAAGAGGGTGAGAGAAACAGAGAGCTGTCTCTTCAGAAGAGAGAGAGAGAAAAGGGAGGACAGCAGAGAGGAGCTTGCCTGAGGGGGAAGAGATAGATTGGGAGTGGGCAGAGCTTATATCTTAAAAGTCCAGGCTATTGTCTGGGTTCATCCTGCCAGGTGACAGGGAAAGCCAACATAATCCTAATACTGTTAGCTTTTAAACTTTGCTTCAAGGAACCCTTAGTGTTTTTTACAGTACTTTAGAAATCATAATGGGAAGAAAAGTTAGGTCAAGGTGAAAGAATTACCAAGTGATTATCTTCCTCCTCTAAGATACCTTCAGTAAGAAATGGGAACTCACTTCCTTACTAGAGCATTTGTTATTTCAACCCACCTTATTTTTTAACTATAATCGATTAGGGAAGCTTTAGATGGCTTCTAACTATGGACTCACAAACATTCATTTAGTAAACAAATTGCTTCTTTCTTAAAAAGCATTTTGCACAGATACAAGTGATCCACTCCATTCATTTAAGCCAGAATTTCTGCCCGATCTTCACTACCTCCACATCTCATCTCTCTCAATACTACTCCCAACTAAGCCATAAGCTTCTAGTCACTGGCACACTGTCATGTGGCTGTTGGGAATTCATTTTGACAGGCAACGAAGCATATGCTCTTTAAAGATTCTCGCAATCCTGAGATGACATGATTCAAGGATTCTTTTGAAATTGCAACAACCAAGTCTCTTCCTCTGAAGTCAAAGATTAACTCACCTTCTAATGAAAACTGCTATTCCTTATAGTGAAAAAAAAGGAATTGTCTAATTAGTATAGCATAAGAATTCCCTATGAAGTAGGCACCTGTCCCTCTATTTTACACAGAATTAAATTCTGACAAGAGTTATGATTATCTTATAGCTAAAGACAAAAATACATGTGTACATACATAAAATAAATTAGTATAACTTGAGCCCTGGGCCCCCTAATTCCAAACTACTTCCAAGCTATGAACTCTAGCTTTTGTGTATAATGGCTCTCTGTTTCTGTCATTTTTGGCTTTACATTGAGGGCCTGAAACCTCCTGAAAGGTCACTTGAATCATGTAATGGGTTTTCTACTTTTGAAAATTTTTCATTTTGGCTGTCAAGAACTCATTTTGCATTTCTAACTCACAAGGCCCCAGTCACAGCGTCGAGAACTTCCCTGCTACTTTCTCATATCAGAAAACAGAGTTTAAGTAGCCAATAAGATTACTGGGCAGGAAGCCCAAGGACTGTGGATGGATATGCACTGTGCCAAAACTTGAGAGTTCACACGGGTAGCAAGAATACAAACAAGAAAAAGGACATTATTATCATTTATCCAGCTGGATGTCTTGATGCCATTTTTAATGGAGATTCTCAATTTCCAAATATTTAACATGTCTCATTTTATTGGATTCACAAGCTTTCCCTATATTGGAGTCTCAAAAATGATGCTGTTATTCTCTTCCACATACCACAGCTCGAAGAAGTTAACTGAATTATTACACTACTTACTTAACAATAGAGCCAGAGCTTGAGCTCAGACTTGGGTTTCTAATTTGATGGCCATAGAAATAACCTAGTTCAGATGACCATGGCAGAATTTCTTTTACCTGGAAACATGAGCTGTTCATGACTCAACCCTCAGCATGGGAAACTTTCTTCTCCATTAACAAATTTGCAAACCAAAATCAGTTTAATGTCTTTCTTTCCAGAACAAGTGAACTGTGACACTGAATCATTCAGAAGAATAGCTCCTAAAAGAAGCTGATTACTGCATTCATAAGAATGGCTATTCAAATTGTCCATAATCACCTACTAGTTCAAGTAATTTGCACTTTCAATATTTGAGTTGCTATCCTACACAAGAACCTGGTCAGATGAATTTTGTTGTACATTTTCTGTGATAATGATAACACCCGGAAAATTTCTCTTAAGGTGCCTGGCACACTAATAATTATAATTAAAAATTGGAGACACTTGAATCAATTGTATATACACAGCATATTTAGAATCAGATAGACCCAGACTGAAATCCTAGCTATGTCTTGATATATAATCTTGAGTAAAATCACAGGTATTTGTGCCATTTTTGTCAGTTTTCGAGATGGTAGAACACTTTGAGAACTGTCATCAACATGGAGTTTATGTATAAAGAGTACAAGAGCTGAAACACAGTACCTACTCTCTAGATGGTAGCTTATAATTATGAGGATTGAGTGCTAGCACTATAAATTGCATTAAGCTCAATCTAACTTGCCGCCAGGCTTCTTTTGATGTTGACCTCAGGTTTGAACTTTCTAAAGAGAGAACAAGGGAACTTCATCCACTCCTTATTGATTGTGTCTCAAAACCTAAGCACAAATCCTTGTATTTCACCAGAACAGTCTAACAATTACCTGAGACTGCAGTTTCCTCTGTCTTCCCATATTATCCATGTAGTCTGAACAGGCTACTTCAAACTCTATGCATTAAAAACTGTCAGGTATTACAAACTGAATGCAGCTATAATGGAAAACTGGTGTTCTACGTTGTTCATATATGCAAAGGTATTGTGTCTGAGTGATAAGCGGCTCTAAGCACTCTTAGTATTGCAGCCTAACTGAAATACTCCCCTTTCACCTTTTTATTAGTTCTCTGATGTTGGAGAATTGGGGGGAGAGCACGTGTATAGTTTCTTTGATACCTACACAGTTTAATACTTCCCCTTCCACATACCTTCAGATTCACACTAACATTCACATCAGAAGATCAAAGCTTACCAACCAGTGTTTTGTTTTCCTGTCTACTGCATCACACCACAGACATTCAGCGTTCAAACTCCCAGGACTCGTTCCCCATGTGAACCTTAACTGTTGCCTCTTAACCTTAACTTACCTGGCCTCTTGTCTTCTATGGGGAAACATCAGAGCCAGGGATTCTATACTATAGAAGGGTTCTGGGAGAGAAATGCTCTGTTGTTTGAGGTTCCAGCCAGTCTGTACATTTGTCAATACAATGAAGAGAGAAACCCTGGACTGGGAGCTAAGATTACAGCCAAGTGTGGTGCTATGATGGATTTTAGCATAGCATACGACTGGGAGACTTGAGATCTAAAACAAAATGAAAATGGAATGGTAGAGTGGATAGGTGAGTGGACAGAGAGCATTCTGATCGTGAGGACCTCACACTTGAGCCCATGGTGAAGAAAGACAGATGACCTGCATAATCTCTGAGCTGTGACCGTCAGCTAATGATTAAAAGAAAACGTGGAACAAAGAACTCACATTCCTGGATTCCAATTCCAGTTCAACCATACTGACTGCATGAACTTGGGCAAGTCACATAACTGCCCTCATTTTTAGGTTCCACGTTGTTGGTAAAATAAGTGTCACATTGTCTGTCATCTGGGGTCATTAGAATCCAATAAAGTCAATTCACAGATGCTTGTTTTAAATTCAAAGAAATATTCTTAATGATAATTTTGAATTTGTAGGAGAAAAATAGAAGAGGTACTAGTAGGGATGAGCTGTGAGGTAACACTTTTAAATTTTTAATCATGGAAAGAATTGAGAAGTTCTGGGAAACTTACCTTATATGTTCTACCTATGTATTAGTACAGATGTAACATTTAAGAGGCAGCTTCCTGCACTTAAGTAAAGCCATTGGGAGGAAACCAAATACCCATTCTATAAAAATTGAATGAAAAATATTGAGAATCCATACCTCATGTGTCTGATTAATATTTTTCAAGCACCCAGTCAACTACCTAAGCTATGCTCTGTATTAATGATGAATAAGAAGTTAAGCTTGAAGTCTTATAAAGGAAGAAGATGTGTCCATTTCTAAATCATGATGTTGTGAACTGAGTTCTTTAGTTGGCTAAAGCTACTCCAGGTTCCTTGAAAGGGTAAAAGAATAATCATTGGTCCATGCTCTTGGAAAAGTTGGAAAATGCTTCACAGAGGAAGGAGTTTTGGAAAAACACTTGAAGGGCATATGAGTGTTCCATCCTCAGCAAAGACATCTGTCTAGGCAGAGACCTGAAAAAGCACAGTGCATTCAACAAATTGTAAGTTTTAAAGAAGGAGTGAGTGTATCACGATTAATAACAACCAAGAGACAGATACTGGGGCTCAACCTGAAGGTCAGAAAAGCAAAACAGCCAGTCCGAAATGGCAGTCCTGCCTCCAGACATCTTCAGAATGAGACAGACTGAGAACTGTCTCCTCCCATCTTATATTCCTCTCTAGGGCTGGGACTAAAGGTGTGCACCATTGCTTTCTGGTTTCTACGGCTAACTAGTGTGGCTACTTGGATTAAAGGTGTGTGTCACCATTGCCTGGTCTCAGGCTAACCAGGGCAGATGTTTTACTCTCTGATCTTCAGGCAAGCTTTATTTATTAACATACAAATGAAATATCATTACAGGTGAGACCTAATTATCAGAAGGCAAGTAACAAGAAATTAGTCTAGTAGTGCAGGCCATACAGAGCCTATTTCTGTCTAACACAAGGATATCAAACTAGGAGAATCGGAGTTAAGTGGGTGGAACAAAAGGAAAGAAAGTGTGGAGCAGAAAGAGATTCATGGTGGAAAATAGTCTAAAGACGGTGTAGAGAAAGCAATGCCCATTAAGCACCTTCCATAATTTGCAGATATGAATGAGAATTCCCCATGCGATTGTGACATGGCTGGCATCAGATGGCAACCAGAAGACAGATTTGTAAAGTGAGAACTGTCCACATAGGAGAACTAGCAATTAAACTGAATCTTACCAAAGGTGTAATGATCAAGAATGTGGGCTTGGGAAATCAGGCTGCTAGATACAGCCCTGTGACTTTGATCATATTCCTGAGCTTCTCTGTAACTCATTTATACCGATGCACAGAGTGGGGCTAATAAAAGAACACACACACACACACACACACACACACACACACACACACACACACTATTCCATGTGAAGATGAAATGAGTAATAGAAGTAGAGGGCTCAGAAAAGAGTCAACCCACTTTAGGTAGTGTGAGATTATGAGTCTCTTCCAAAAATTTGTACCCTTTCTGATACTATCATGATCTCATTGGAAACCCTCAGTGAAAGAGAATGGGTTTCCTTAAGAGCCATCAGTGATGTCCTTTAGGGCACCTCAGTAGCTGTGTGGGGGCCAATTTCTCAGCAAAGCAGAGGCCCAAACATAACTCAGCATACCAATGGCAATCTGAATTTGCCTCTGCCCACTCTTCTCCAGGATTCCGCAACTTGCATGTCGATGACCAGATGGCAGTCATTCAATATTCCTGGATGGGACTCATGGTATTTGCCATGGGTTGGCGGTCCTTCACTAACGTCAACTCCAGGATGCTCTACTTTGCACCTGACCTGGTTTTCAATGAGTAAGTACCCCTGTGACCAGTCTTGTGTCCCTCTGCTACCACTGAGGACTTCTGTTAGTCACTATTTGCTTAACAATTGCTTTCATGTCAAGACTATGATCAATACTTCCTTAAAAAAAAACCCATCTCACTTAGTTCTCATGATAACCTGATATGTTTTCATAGATAGTCATGTCTTTTGGGATGTGGGATGTTATATGTACTAAAATAAAATGACCCAGCTATTTCCCTTTACTGACATAGATTGAATTTATATCTCCTACCAGCTATATTTATCTTTCGTAAATTTGACCAAAAGCTTAGACTTTTAGAATCATATTCTCTGCTATAGTCTTAGTTCTGCTATGATCCATGTCTTGATCTTTAGACAAGACCCCTTAACCACGGTCCATGGTTGAAAAGAACTTAAAATCTTTACTCCAAGAATGGTAGCTCAAAGAATCCTAGCATTCAAACGACTGAGACAGGAGGATCAGGAGTTCAAGGTTAAATTTACTTGTGTAAGATATTCAAAGCGAGCTGCCAGCCTAGGCTGCAAATAACATCACACAAAGTAAAGAAACAGAAAAGGTGGGAAAAGGACAGGGAAAGGGAACAAAAAGAAAGGGAAGGGAACAGACTAGGGATCCCATTTTCATGACCTTTCCCCTTCTGATAGGGCTAGTATTCTCTCCATCTGCTATCTGAGGTTTTGCGGTGACACTATGAATGGAGCTGAACAGAATAAGTTTCCCAAGAACCTTGAGCTCGTTTCATTACAGAGAATCCCTTCAGTAGAGGAAGGAATTAAGCTTCCTCATCCTTCAGACCTTTAAATAAAATCCACAGGCTTCTGGTTCCTTAAAACACAGCAGTGTTGTGGGAGGCAGAGTAAGTGTCCCCAGCTGCTCTCTTTCAAGCTAGCCAAGCCCGGTAGTCAGAACCTAAGAATAGCCATCAGGACTTTGGCTTCCAGACTTTCCAAGAGTTACCTTTGATGCCATCTTCTGGGACAGATGTTGTAAAACCTCATACCCACTACTTCTCTTGATTGAATAAACTCAAGCACGGACTCTACCTTCCTCAGAGCCCTGAGACCTTTGGGAGTCTGCACAGTGATGAATTTCTAAATAGCCATTTCCTTCTCTATGGCATCCCACCTCAGCTTTGTAGCTAGGTCTTTTATCTCCTGAGAAGATACTACAGAGCTTCCAAAAGTGTCAGGCTTAGATCTATCAAGCCACAAAAAAACCTGAAGCAAGGTTTCTTCCCTTTGGAGGAACCAATTGCAATACAGTCATCAGAATTTTACAAATATCTAGACCAGTGCTTCTCAACATAGATACTGTTGACATTTTGGGATGTTTTCACGTACAAGATGTTATGCAGTTTTGCATAATGCACTATGTTAATATCCCTGGTTGGTACCTGCTTGATAAATAAGATTTCAGTCATTTTGAGACCCAATCAGACCCCATGCATTTCTACTGTCCACTGGGAATGCAGTACGCCCCAGTTGAAAACTATAATTGCTTGCAACTGAGGCCCAGAGAGACAGAGCCTGGGACTTGAAGCTGAGAAAACCCACATGCTGCTCTATGGAAGGCCAAAACCCTTTCTCAGTAAAGTTTTCTTCGTTCTTTCCTTCTTTGTGGAAATCCCGTGTTATGAGGATACTGGACTTAAATTGGAGATCTCTAACCATGGGAGAATTGCTGCAGTTCTCCGGGTCCCACATCTCTCATTATTGAATGATGAATAACATAGCAGCGCCTTTCTTACACATCATTAACTAAGCACTTACCCCATGCCAGGCGCTGGGTTTAGTGTTTCCCAATTTTCACCTTTCCTTTTATCTTGTCTTTTATCAATGCCCACTTCTGCTCTCTTTTGGAAATCCATTTCTACCCCTTATTTTTACCCACTACTGCCATTCCCCTTTCCTTCCTCTAATTCTCTCCCAACTCTCTCTTCCTGCTTCCTGTTTATTTCCATTTTGATTTCTTCTCATTGCTTGTTCCTCTTCTCTCCTACCCATTGCCTATCTTTTCTGTCTCAGGGGCCTACAGCAATATTCTAGGAATCCTTTGTGCCCGGGCCATGATTTAAAACGCTGCAGTGTTGACATCCACAGAGGCGTGCAAATACAATGGAGACGGGAGCACAGCCAGGTTCCAGGGAAATCAGGACTTACTCAAATGTCCTCTAGGGTAAAAGAGCTTAGAGCAGCACTGTTCTGCTCAATTGACTTGTGATACCATCTAAACACTTCCCTTGTCCAGTTGGATTTCAGCCTGGATTGAATAATTCACCACCTGCTACCTTCCCTTCTTCTCCAGGGCAGCCAAGGTCTCTACGAGATAGGTTACAGAGCTCCTTTCTGCCCAGGCAATGATAAGCCTGCTCACCTCTGCACCAGGCTAGTGGCTTGGGAACTAGACTATCAAAACATGGCCTTTATTGTCCATCTGGGAGATCTTTTTCCTCGTCACTTAGGCACTTAAAGTTGGTGTCAAACTCCCCTTCCTTTCTTCACAAGCTACAAATGAGTGTCCCCCCCCTCACCCTTACTCTCTCTCTCTCTCTTTTCCTCTCTCACACACACGCTCACACACACAAACACACATGTATGTGCGCACATACACACACACACACAAACATACATTTCTCAACTTAAAGGCCTACTAGTTGGAGATACCGTGACTCTTCTTAGAGACTTGCCATAACCAGACATGAAACAGAGAGGTTGCCTCCACCCTGAAGTTGTCTGAGCCTTGGCCTCTTCCCCATATAATTTATAGGTGATAATGCGATAATCTGTTCACAACTCACTATAAGAAAGCAGCTCACAGATGTTTACAACTCCCAAACTGTAGTAAGGAACAGCCAGTCTTTGTGAGAGTGGGCTCCCCTCTGTAGAGGACTTAGAGACTAGACATTGCAAAACACCCCTAGCACATTTAGAAGCACTGGAACTCATTGTGAAAGGACAATGTGCAATTTATATCTACTGCTAGATGTTTTTCAAAGAAATGATTCCATTTCTGTTGCAGGAAGTGGCAGGCCGGGGTGTCGACAAGATAAACACCTGTGGCCCCTTGCAAACCTTGGCAATTCTTACACTGAGAGCAGATTGCCTGGGAGTCCCTCTGCGATGTCCCGAAGTGGGCAGGATCTGGCTCTGCCTGTAGTTGAGATCCTAACACTGTAGTCAGGGAGACCATGTCCCTGCCCCATTGTGTTTATTTGGCCATGCTTTCCTGTCCCTGACTCAGGAAACAGAAAGGAAATGCAGGCCTGGAAATTCCATGTGCTAAACCACATCCTGACCAGAGAAGATGAGCCTTTGTCTGGATATCAGAAGTTTGGGGGACAGGGAGAACAGGACAATTCCTTGTCACTGAAGTCCTCGCAAGATAAATAAGCAGGAGAGAGGGCCTCCAAGGAAAATTCCTTGAGTGCTGGTTGGAAGTGTCCCCTCACTTCTCCTTTTCATCTATACGTCTATTGCTTAGGTACCGCATGCACAAGTCTCGGATGTACAGCCAGTGTGTGCGGATGAGGCAACTGTCTCAAGAATTCGGATGGCTCCAGATAACCCCCCAGGAATTCCTGTGTATGAAAGCCCTGCTACTCTTCAGCATTAGTAAGTACTTGGGCCTATAGAGGATGGCAGTGGGAGCACAGTGGCTCTAGGGGACCTACATTTTCCATTAAATTGTTATTAGGGAGAATGCAGCGCCTAGATTATTCCCCTTCTCTCTCTCTCCCTCCACCCTCTACATCCCTGTAGCATCCTTTCTCCTTAAAAGACCAATGTCGTGCGTAGAGATCAGTTTCATGGGTAGAATTCAGCCTCTACCAGATTCATTATTCTCATTCCGTCACTGAAATAAGACCTTTAAAGAAGTTGTAACAGGCCTGAGATAGCCTGTGGTCTCTACTGTAGGAATAGGCCTGAGCCACCTTGCATTCCTTGCAGAGGAGTAGAGCAGGAGGGATCACTTCCTAGAGGATATTTCCTCTTTAGCAACCAAAGGAGGCGGATGGAAACAATGGAGACAGGCTTGCTTGTCTGCTCTAAGCAGGGTGTAATGGGGAAGAATGGAGGCATTTGGTATGTGGTAAGCCAGGTTTCTTGAGTGTCTAAATCACAGCTGGATAAAGAACAAAAAAGTTTGGGGCCTGAGAAATGGGTGCATGTAAAAACTAGTCAAAAAATAAAAGGGGAGTTCAGTCTATTTTATCTAACTCCTCCGTGTTAAGTACAGAAAATCATTTACTTTGAAGGCCTCAGGCACACAGACTTCAACTGATAGAAAGCCAAATAGATGCTTCCCTCGGCGTGGGGGTGGGAGATCAAGTTTGTGGTCAGAAAACTTGGTGCTTTGTCTAATGCTCCTTCGTGGGCATGCTTCCCCTCCCCATTCTGTCTTCATCCCACATCAGTTCCAGTGGATGGGCTGAAAAATCAAAAATTCTTTGATGAACTTCGAATGAACTACATCAAGGAACTCGATCGTATCATTGCCTGCAAAAGAAAAAATCCCACATCCTGCTCAAGGCGCTTCTACCAGCTCACCAAGCTCCTGGATTCTGTGCAGCCTGTAAGCAAACTACAGAGGGTGCTTTATCAGGGAGAGCAGCCTGATAGAGCCCAGTGATAATAGGCTCCTCTAGGGTCTGGCACCACCTGTTGGGAGGTGCTTCCATTTGCCTCTGGCTTTGAGTATGGTCCAAGAAGAAAATGCAATGGAGAAGAAAGAAACACAGGTCACAATGTCCCAGCTGGATGTTGTGAAAGGGGTGGAGGAGTGGAGTACTGAGAAGCTGGGTCTTAGGGAAGAAGCTTAAGGCAGATGAATTTCCCAGGCAGACAAAACAGGCATAAATATTTTTCTTTCCTCCTTTCCTTGAGTCATATACATGCGAGTTGTGTGTGTGTGTGTGTGTGTGTAGAAGGAGGAAGAAGGAGAGAGAGATAGTAGGAAGGAGGAAGGTAGAAAGACAGAGAAAAAGATTGAAAGTGTGTGTGTGTGTGTGTGTGTGTGTGTGTGTGTGATGGAGGAGAGGAAAAGAGGAACACTCAGTCCTAAGTCAGAGGACTTGAAATGGTATAAATGATCTCTAGGAGCCCTGAAGATCATTTTTCAAACACACAAGTGGGTAGATACACACGCATGAATGTGCACACATGCACACACACATACATACATATACACACTCACTGAACAGGATCAAGGCTAGGCCTTGGGACAAAATGCTAAAGGTACTGGCATTCAGGGTGGGAGGAGAGCTGGGCAGAAGCCAAGTTTTTATTGACCACGTTTGTTCTGTCTCTTCCTCTCCCTGCAGATTGCAAGAGAGCTGCATCAGTTCACTTTTGACCTGCTAATCAAGTCCCATATGGTGAGCGTGGACTTTCCTGAAATGATGGCAGAGATCATCTCTGTGCAAGTGCCCAAGATCCTTTCTGGGAAAGTTAAGCCCATCTATTTCCACTCACAGTGAAGATTTGGAAGCCTTCATAGTCGAATGCACCTTGTTCCCTTTTTCAGACGTCTTCTGCACTACTTCCCTGCAGTGCCTTGGGGGAAATTCCTCTACTGATGTACAGTCTGTAGTGAACTCTCCTCGGTGACATTTCCTGGGCTTTCCTTCTTTCCTTTCCTTCTTCTCTCCCTCTCTTGCTCCCCCATGGCACATTTGGAATCTGCTGCCTGTTGTGGCTTCTGCCTGTGTTCTGAGTTGTGTTGTATTTCTTTGACTTTGTGGTGACCCTCGTGTGGCCCACTGTCAACTGTGCTCGCTTACAGCCCTGAGCTGTGTGCCAACCACGCAAGTGTTTGCTCACCTTATGCCATGTCAAGTTCAGAGAGCTCCAAGTATCTGGGGGAAGAAACAGACATAGAAAATAAAAAGCCAAGACAGCATTCTAGGGTTAGTTCTTCACAATAAATAAGTAAACATATAGGATTCCCAAAGAAACCAACTAGGAGAAAGTAAAAATCCCAGGTACATGAGGAGTCACTGTCTCTGTTCATCCTGTCTCTCTGTGGGAGAGTTCAGCTGTTGCTAATGGCTGTAGCCATCAAAGAGCATCCGACCCCAAAGCTTACTGGTAGGATAGAGAGAAAATAGGACAAGGAGGGAGGATGGATAGCCATTACTTCCCCACGGCCTTTGTCCCTGAGTGCTAGTGTGCTCAGTAGCAGTGCAGTTCGTTGTACTGAAATGTGCTTCATGTCTGAAAACTTGTCTGCATGCGAATACCTCCTCCTTCAATGTCTTTTCTCTCTTAACCTCTGCTTCCACCCTCAACTGACTTTCAATAGGTTTTCTAAGAGCTTTGAACTAAATGTTCTCTTTAGCCAAAACTTTGGCCACTTCCACTGAAGTTAGGTCAGTGAGAAGAAAGCAGAGAGATCTGACTCTTTGAAAGGCTCCATTCAGATCTATGGCTACATTTCTGTGTGGGAGCCATAGAGGAGTTTGGGGGCTGGAGTCAGAGGAAAGGGAGTGATGGCATCACTCCCTTTAGGGACAGGAAATGGTTGATCCCTTGGTGAACCCACCTTTTCCTCCACTTTTAAAGGACCTATAGACTCCTTGCAGCCACCTTTTCACTCCACAGTTCTTCAGTGTTCGGTGGGCCTGAACTTCATTCTAATGCATTTAAGCCATGGTGGTCAAGCTTGCTCACTTCTTTGGGCATGTTTATAGACACTGCTAAGGTCTCCCTCCCATCACCACCATGAAGCTTAGCAGACCAAGAGCCACAGCATCTTTGTTTAGATGCCAACAGTATCAAAGACATCTCACTCAATGTCTTTCATCAACAGTCAGATTTCTGGAGCCCTTAGATAAATTTAAGAGAAATCATCAAAGGGACCAGACAAACTGGGCAGCTTTCCCTTGTCCTCCAGAGACAATATACTCCTATCAAGTGGAGAAATGTCAATTTCCTCCTCAGAGTGATGAAAGCAGCTACCCAGACCATGGTGGAGGAGAAAACTAAGTAACCAGGCTGGGTAAATGAAGACACTAGAACCAGAAAGCATAAAATGCTGTCCTTTCCATCCATCATGCTTACTCTCCGGCATACTCACATGGGAAGAAGAGAGGAGGCCAAAAGAGAATGCTGACTGCCAGTCTTCCGAGGCAAAGGCTAAAGTCAAATGAACAGCACCTGGCTAGATGGGCACCGGTTTGCTCATCCTCCACTATTGAAGTTGCTGAGTTGACCTTGGCCAAAGTCACTCAGATTCTCCACCAGAGTGGTTGCCTCTCAGTCAGAGGGTGCAAGATCACTGAGACATTCTATAGAACTGTGACTCCCATTGGACAGATCTGTCTGGTGTGGCAACAAACAGACTACACCCACAAACTCAGGGCATGCCCTGGGTCACTGGTTTCATATAGTCCGTTGGCACCTTACTTTTTCTGTGGACTCTGCTCCTCAATCTCGAGTGCAGGAGGAATTCCCACCTACTCTTGCATTTTTACAATTCCTCCTCACTCAGCTCTTCACTTTACTGCTGAGCTTGCGAATGCAAGGGCCAGCCCACCAGCTGCCCATCTTAGCTGGTATATTGAGTTGATTGAGAAGATAGTGTCTGAGTGACACGATATGAGACACATGAGTTTCCTTCCCTAATTTCTGTGTTGATATTAATAGCAAAACAAACTTGCAGAACAAGTTCATTAAATAACAAGGGAAGGAGAATGTAAGATCGGTGATATGACAGTCCGACCCTGCTGGACTAAAGCTGAACCTGACAGGTTCCCTTTTTTGAGCTAGGATAGACAGATTCTGATTTGCTTTGTGATGATACCATATGGCTTATGTACACGATCTCTATTAGCTGTATTTTAAACAGAAAAAAAAATCACCACTCTTTTCAGTTAAACTAGGTTACATTTTAATAGTTCCTTTACATCTATTTTGAAGCAATTTCCATCTTCTGTGGTACATGGGTTTTATTATAACATTCTAATATTTGTAAATACTAGAGGTTCTTAATTCCATTTTCTCGATGAAGTTTTTCATCTTAGAGAGTTCCAGATAATGGCTCTTGTCTTTTTGAATGTATATGTTTTTGTTTTTGCTTTTTACTTGCAAAAGCCAAAAATCAGTGAAACAGCAGTGCAATTAAAGCAACGCCAAGTAGATAACTCCAAATTTCCGAGTGGCGAAACGAGAGAAAACAGCCTACACAAGGCCTATGCCTGCTGTTTCTGCACTGGGATTTGAGTGAGCGATGGAGTCATAGCTAAGCTGTGCACTCCCACACAGGCAAAGAAGAGATTGAGTTTGGCTTTTTCGCTTTTTGGATTTTCTGTTTCCTTTCTTTTTGTTTTCTTTGGCCATCAATGTTCCAGCTAGTGTGACTGGCAGAAGTCTCATCTTGCAAGCACTCTACTTGGCAGAGAGAGTGCTGCTGGTTCATGGTGCTCACCTGTGAACGCCTGGCCACTGCTCCACTCAGCTGGTAAGATGGAAGATGAGGATCCCTCACTGGACAAGTCAAGGTGATCATCTCAGAGGTTTAGAGTGCTTGATAAGAATGGAAGGTGAGGATGAGAAAAAAAGGAGCACCGTGGAGAAGGCCCATCTGGGCTGGGCAGCAGATAGCTGCCAAAGTCACGAACTCTGTGATTTAAAACAAAACAAACAAACAAAAAAAAACAAAAAACAAAAAAACAAAAAAAAAAGGGTCGTGTATCGCTTTCAACTCTCATTCACAGGGCAGCTCACTGTGTGTGAATTCTGAGCTGACATGGGAGTTGGCTTCTTTGTTCCGTAGATTTTCTATGCCACAGGCAATATTATTGTTCTTGGAAAGTTCATTATTTTTTTAAATTACCTAACTCTGAGAAAGGGATTTTTTTTTGAAGGATTCTGTCGTATATCTTTGAAAAACAGAAAATCAGTAATATGTATATTTTATGTATGCTCACTGGCTCTAAAAAAGAAAAAAAAAAGCTTCACTCTGTCCTTTGGGTAGTTAATTGTCCAGGTTGTGAAATGTGCTGATGCCAACATCCTTTTCTGTCCACTCGATTTCTAAATACATATAGGTATATATAACAAGATATAGTCAACACACTTTAAGAAAAACTTATGTCCACCATCTGCATACTCCACAAATTATGTGACTTTAAGCTTCAAGCAGCTTCTAACTGTTTGTTTCATTTAGTACAGACGTGGCCTTGCCCCCTTCTTTCTGCTAAATTTGACAGGGCACAAAGGCCCAAGCCACCCCTTATGCCCACCCCAAGACCTATGCCAATATCACACTTCAGAAGGTTTTCTAAACACAACTGGCTTACTGTCCCTGCATGACCCTAGCATGGCCCTGGATAACAAGAGTCTGACTATAATTCTTCTGTATTAATTGCCAGGGTAAGAGGTCATTGAGCCAAAAGCATGGTTCTCATACTTGAGAACCGTGAATGCTAACCTTCCCAATCAAATCCCCAACTGAAAGTCAAAAGAAGCCATTTAGCATGTGAAATATCTTAGACAAAGAAGCTTCTTTCCTGGCTGCCTTTACAGACATGTTTGTTCTCACCACTTACCGCTTTAAAAATCTTTGAGAGTATTTTTTTTAAGTAGAAAAGGAGATGAAAGCATTACATTATGTAACCAAAGATTATATTGTATCTGCTAAGATACCAAAATTGTTAAGGGCAGGGAAGGAGCAAGCATTAGCGCCTCTTTGGTAAACTATCCAAAGACAGACTGAAGGGCTTTTCTGATGACCTACTTAGAGACTTTGTGGGGAGGGGTTGTCTCATAATATACATATTTACAAGTGTTGAGGATCATTTGGAAAAGAAGATGGGATTATAGCGTCATTCACTAACTGATTTTATAAGCATAACTAGCTTTCCTTTTTTCTAGTAGTTGCAGAGCAAATTCTTGAAGCTCCATCTTTGCATGGTTGGAAATGGAGCTGGTCTTGGCCACTGTGTTTGCTAGTGCCCATGTTAGCTTATTTGAAGATGTGAAGCCCTTGATGAGAAAGGGTGCATTTAAAAGATTAGATTTTGCACTAGAAAGAGGGCAGGCAGAAACCCTCATTTCTGCCCAGTTTGGACAGCACAAAACGTTCTCTGCAGTTTAAGGCAGAAAGTTGAAATATATTGTAAATGAGTATTTGTATCCATGTTTCAAAACTGAATTATATATATAGATGTAATGTGTTCTGATAGCTTTACCTTTCTCTGCACCTTTATATTTGGTTCCAGGTCATATCTGATGCCATGTACTTGTAAGAGAGGTTGCGGTTACATTTTGGATGCTCTCTCAGAATGGATAAGACGCCTGGATTGATCAGATAGTTAATATCTCTTCCCATATTGGGCCTGGTGTTCAGGCCTTGCAAAGGGGTGGAGGAGGAAAGGGTAGGGTACATGATGTATTGCACTTTACTAGCTCAAGACAGATGAATGTGGAAAGGGTGGTGGGATCTCATTGAAGTTGCCTGGGAATCGCCATAGGGAGAAATCCAGATGTGGGGCCAGGTGCCCACCAAAAAGACTGGCCAGCATCCTCTTTGTGGGATCTGAGCCATTGGGAGAAGGAAGGTTATTTCCTTGATCTTCACCATTCTTGTTAGAGAAGGGCAGTTGCCTGATCTTGGGAACCTGGAGCAAATGCTCCTTCTGTCACATCAATTCTTTCCGCTGCGATTGAGGTGCTTTTGCTACTGGGTGTCCGTGTGCTCTGTTTCTGCTTTGGGATATGTTCTGTAAAGATTTTGATAATTGATAATGTATTTTTCTCTGTTAAAATTTGTTAGTGTACTAGAAGTTATATCTCTGTAGGTACAGTTCCATCACTACTTATAAATAGGGGTGTTTTTTTTTCTTCAATTAAGAGTTTGACACTGGGGTCTGTTGCCCAGAGCCTCCTAACCCCCAATCATTCAAGATGAAGGCAGAAAAGCCCACATCTTGTCACTTTTCTTCTGAAATTTCAGCCATGGTAACAAATCACTGGGAATTCTCCTGTCCGTCAAAAGAACAGCAGATAATTGAATTTAGCAGGCAGTGTTTTAGAGCAAAAAAAAAAACAAACAAACAAAACAACCTTTGATCCAGCTTTAGTATGACCCACTTTAATCTGGTCAGAAAACAGGTAATGTGTACTAAGTTCAGTATAACGGGGTTCTTCTTCATTTCCTTGTTCCATTTGTCTCTTGGCCTTTCATGGAATTAAAGGAGAAGCTGTGACTGAACAGCATGGGTAGCCTGGAAGAGTTTCTATGTAAGCTACTCAGTAAGACTGTTGTTTAGCTGCAGATTCCATTGGCCAACAACAACTGGACGACACACATATACATTACCCAATGGAAAATAAACAATTCTGAAATATTGCTATTTCTCTGCAGGCACACTGTCTGCCATCTTGTAGTTTGAGTCATTGTACTCTATATGAGAGATAGACCAGGTTTGTAGTATCTCATAACCTTAGCACTGGGTACCAACTGTCATGGAGGGAGGTGCTTATGGGGTTGTCCTATAAGCCACATTGGACACTGAGAATAGTCACTATTGGGATCCTCCAGGTTGAAAAAAAAAAAGAGTCCCCTCACCACTCTTAGACACACCATCTGCTTTCCTCTAGACAGAAAGAATAGATACTGATTAAGGAGTGTATTGCAGATGACATCCTTACACTGTCCTTGAGATTAATTTGGCAGTAGGAGAGAATAAACAATGTAACTAGAGATAAGAATTAAATTTTGATGTGGAGAGAGCAAAGAGAGAAGGCATTATTCAAAAAATTTTCAAAAGAAACAAATGAATTTTGCTTGGAAAGTCTTTTGATGGGGCTTCAGTTCTCAGAGCGGCACATGGCCTCCACTGGGCAGCAGGACCGGCCCCAAGCGCTAGCGTTCTCTTCTCTTTTTGTGATCTTGGACTCCTTTGTTGTTCTAAATACAATTAAAAATGGCAGAAACTTGTTTGTTGGAATACATGTGTGACTCTTGGTTTGTCTCTGCGTCTGGTTTTAGAAATGTCATCCATTGTGTAAAATATTGGCTTGTTGGTCTGCCAGCTAAAACTTGGCCACAGCCCCTGTTGTGGCTGCAGGCTCAAGTTATTGTTAACAAAGAGCCCCAAGAAAAGCTGCTAATGTCCTCTTATCACCATTGTTAATTTGTTAAAACATAAAACAATCTAAAATTTCAGATGCATGTCAGCAGAGTTCTTTTCATTAGCTCTTTTTATTGGCTGTCTTTATTGGAGTCAAGAATTGGTATCATGCCCAGTGGCCTTTTATGCTACTTTGATTTTCATATATTTTTAAAAACTCTTAGCCAGGGGTTATAAATTTGCCCTGTCTTAACCTTAGCATAGGATGACCCGAGACCACCAAAATAACAGAGCATCTGTGTTAGGAAACACAGATAGACACCACCACTCCATTGCAACCCTTTGTGAGAAGCCCCACGCTTGGCAGTTCAGAGAAATCTGCACCAAGCTCAGCTACTCACACTCACATGCTGCTTCCTATAAAAACATGGTGCATCAATACTCAATTTGAATCAAACTTCAGAAAAAGAATGGGCATATTTGCAGCCTCACTGTTTGGGGGACCATACCATCAGCAACCACTGAAGTATAAACTGAGCCAAACAGTTCTTTTGTGGTTCTTCAACTCAAGAGCGCTTCCTATACCATCCCAATGCTAATACATACAGGATCTCAAATTGGATTGCTGATTTTGAGATATGCTTGATCCATCACTGAGGTATTCTAGGTACCTTAGACAGCAATAATGTTCCCTATGCTGCATATCCTCCCATGTAATAAGAGTTGTAATGTAATAAGAATTTTTACATGCTTCCTTTCTGATTTGGGTTGAGGATCAGTGAGAACATATGTCACACAGCTGGTGGGCTATTTGTTCTGGCTCTGTTCCCTATTAAAATTCCAGAACCCCTGGCAGGGCTCCCACATTGGGCCATTTTTATTATTGTCCACCTCAAAATACATGGATTTCTCAAATGTTTCCTGATATCAGTGCATGAGCTAGAAGACAGACATACCAGTAGTTCTTAGGATATGTATTTGTGTGCCTACAATGAAGAAGAGAAATGTGTGTGTGTGTGTGTGTGTGTGTGTGTGTGTGTGTTTAGTGTACATATGTCAGAATAGGTCATTGACCTACCATTGCTTAGACTGTCCACCCTTGCATCTCTAACAAGTGACCTAACAACTGCGCTACTTGATTTTCCTTGCCACTCAGTTCCTGGAAATGTGGTTAACATCGACCACAGGATTTTTCCAGAATTGGCAACACCAATTTCAGAGACAAGACACCTAATAGACTTGAAAGAGCTTGCAGAAAGAAGTCCTGTATTGACTTGTTTATGGTCATGCAACTAATGTATATAGATAGATATGATCTAAGCCTACCCATTTAATGATTTAAAGTACGACAATGGAAAACTCACCACCCCTTTCTGGATCTGAATTGACTCATCAGTAAAATAAACGTCTGTTAGCAGATATTTGGAACTACATGAGATGTAAAGTCTTTTCTAGCCTGAACACTATGGGGACTGAAAACTGCAAAAATACTTTTCATATTCATGACCTAAGATGAAAAGGAAAAGGACTTTCACTTTCCTCAGAACACATTTTTGTAACTAGCATGCTCATGGTTTGTACTCAACAAATATTCAGAGAACAAATGGTGGGAAACAGAGTCTGAAAACAACAGCAGATACTGTTGACTCCTTGATGGTTGGAAAAGATCACAAAAGTAAAATCATATATTTATCATAGAGATCATCATGTAAATGACAGAGATAAATGGGAGCTAAATAAACCCTAGTCATGTACCATGGTTTCAGTGAGTTGACAGTCTGTTAGCATGCCCTAGATTAGACCAGTCTGGGATTGTAATCTATAACACCTATTGCCCAACTTTCCCATATCCTTCCACTCAAATAAGTAAGGTTGATCTTTAATTTAGAATTCCAAACTTTGAGCCAGGAGGTGATGGTGCATGCCTTTAATCCCAGCACTCAGAAGACAGAAGCAGGTGGATTTCTGTGAGTTCAAGGCCATCGTGATCTACAGAGAGGGTTCCAGGACAGCCAGGGCAACACAGAGAAATCCTGTCTTGGAAAAACAAACAAACAAATAAAAATTCCCTACTTAAAATGGTCAACTTTAGGGCTAGAAGAGCTTTTAAGCATATTCCAAATTTCCCGTTTACGAAGGAAAACTGAGCCAAAGTAAGTAATGGTATTGTGGCCTAGGGCCTGTAGCGAGGGACCATCCTTAGAAACCAGTTCATACTCCACTCACATGTGTGTGTATGTGGGGAGCATTTCGAGGTGGTGGGACATCCATGAGGACTTATCCTGCCACTGCATGCTTATTTGGAGCCTAAAAAGTAAGAGCCTCAACTTCTTGATATATGGCTTGTCCATACAGTGACTAAGAATCTCTACCCTAGTTGCTGAACCTACTTTACCTTACACCCATTCCAAGAGGCTTTCTTCACTACCACTGTAAAGGAGGAAGACAGAAGAAGAGGCACACTTGGTGAGCTCTAACAAGGATGCACAGGAAAGTGAGAGACGTGGGGAAGAGAATGGTTTTCTGAGCTAACAGGCAGATATGGGTGGCTTAAGCATCCTAATAATTTTGCCACACTTTAGACCATAACTTCTCATCTCCATTCAGTTATTAAAATATACACAAAATATCACTATAAAGAGCAAATCATTTTAGTGTTAGACTAACATTGAAAGAGAATCCCATTGACTACAAAGGCTGCAGGGACCTTCACAGGCACATTATCCAATGTTCTCCACAGCCATTGACTTTCAGTTGTTTGAAAATATTTATTCTCAACCATCATTCTGTTTCTTTCCCAAGAATAAGAAAAACATATACCCTGATGGAGATCTGGGTCTCCTGGAGGGAACAAAACAAAAACCCAGATTATTGTCTTTTCACCTAGTGGGTGTTATGGCAAGGAGATCACTGGGCTCTGTCATTGTCACAAAGGCACAGTGCCTGCCTTGTCTGGAGATAAGGTCAAGGAAGACTTTTCAAAGAAATCCAGCCCACACATCTAATTGGATAAAGATGAGCCTGTGAGTGGAGAAAAGAGAGTCCTTCTAGGGTGAGAGTTGGCAGACTTGTAAAGGCTAAAAGTACTTGAGTCAAGATATTAGGAAGAACTGGGTAAGAGAATGGCTGGAAGCAATGAAAGTATAGAACAGAATCACACACACATACAAAAAGCCTTCAGAAAATAGTGTGACCTGTATCTCCTGAGTAACAGGGATTCATAGGAGTCCTTGTCAGCATTTAAATTCCCAGACAACTGTCTAATCTAAACTTCATAACATCTTAAGGATGCAGGGAGGTCAGTGATCAACCAATTTGCAGAGAGACAAACTGAGGCCTGTGAATGTGATTTGCCCAAAAGCTGGTTATTACAGAATATTTGATATCCTGACATCTAAACCAATAAACACACATTTCCTGATTTCCAGTATTACTCTTCTCACATCATGCCAATTTAGTGAAAACCTCAGGACCAAATAATGCAAATATTTAAATGCAAATGTTCATGAATCTCTGTAATGATAGCATGTTTGCCTGCTACCCCACTTCCACTTGCCTTGGCCTTACCAAGTGACATTGACACTAGGTTTCCAGATAGTAAAGAAGAAACCTCAGAGGAAAGGATAGTAACATTAACTTCATAAATATGAAAATGCCAGTTATATCCGGTATATATGAAGTCATGACGTCCATATAGCCTTATCCCCAAATTTCATATAACTGTGGTTGGGAACCGAGGCTATTCCTCCTCATTCCTGTCTGATTAGGAGTTTTGTGGGGGTATAGCAATTCATTTGACGTTCAAGTAATCTATGAATATATCTATCTATTGAGGAAGACAGAAAAAAACAAGCAGTGGTGTTTATCAGCTTCTGTTATTAACTAACAGATAAGCTCATATAAGTCATATTTGGGAGGAGTCATCATCTTAAAAGCAAGATTAAGGACTTTATTTTTAAATTTCTAAAACCTGTAATGATCATCTCTTTTTTAAACTTTGGATCTCCCTTTCTAAGCCTAAACCACTAGGTAGATTTGCAGTTACTTGTACAAGCAGCACACTTCCATTTTTACAATTTTGTTATCTCAACGTCACAGAGAACTCATAAAAAATCAAACAAGAGAAAGAGATCAGGAATTACAAATAAGCATTGTTAGAAACTAAGTGAAATATAAAAACTGGTATTTTAAAAGTTGTCGTTCAACTAATACGTTAGTAAAGAATCCAAAGAAGCCAAAAAATGAAGTGATGTCAAAAATCATATGGAGTATACAAGTATTACAGCAGAATTTTGCCCTTAGAATTTTACCAGATCTCGGGCGATGCTAAATTTCTGTTTTAGTGATACAAGAAATGGAGACGAGGGCAAGAAAGCTGAAAACCGGAGTCCCTGTGGGAACTGTCTCTATGATGGCTGGCCAGCCTGCCTAATAAAGCTAGCTGCCTAGGAGAGAGCAGGAGAACCTGCCAAGAGGTGCTGCTCCTCACATTCAGGGATGATCTGTAGGGTCAGGAGAGGCCATGGTGGGGTGTAACAATCCAAAGGAACTATCAAGAAAGGACTCACAGCACCCCTGTCTTTCTCCACACCTTGCCCCAAGAACTGAGGTTGCTTGCAGAGACCAAGGCTCACAGTTGTTCCTTCCTCACACTGCACAGCATGAATCCCGCTAGAGTCAGAGGGATCTAGGAACTTCACCCTTTCAATTCAGCACAGCTGAACCAGCAGTTTACTCTATAAGCACTCTCTCTTTTCTTCTTTTGTATTATTTATTTTCCAATCTTGCATATAACTCATGATAGTTTTTCTTTTGCGTATATTGTTCAATTATGTTTGCTTCTCTCCCAGTTTATTATAAAGCATTCTTCAGTAGCATGCACTATATACTATGCCATTTTTCTTCCTCTCACCCTTACCTTTTTTTTAATTTAGAAGTTAAAACCTTTCATAGCTCTATCTTTAAAATCTTTGGATACTAAAACTATTCCAATTTTCTGCTGTTTTACCAACCTTGTTTTTTGTTTGTTTTGTTTTTATTTTTCATGGTGTGCTTCTTCTTGATACTTCTCTCCCTCTCTTGATCGTATTAACTA